TCCTTGGTCTTATCCACATTTATTGCATGTTGAACACATGTCCACCACAACAGGAAGTAAATAACCTGAACTGCGTTAATTGCGTTAATTTTGTTTAACGCGTTATTTATTTAAAATTAATCGCATGCGTTAACATGTTAATTTTGACAGCGCTAATATATATATATATATAAGTATATGTACAGTTGGAGTCAGATAAAGTATATGTAAAGTATAAAATATCTCTTTATATTTTCCAAACAACTAAACAGAGAATTATGGGATCAGGAAAATATCAATCTGTAAACATTAATTAGACTTCAAATGAGGAAAATAAACATGCAGTATAAATGTGACAGAAAAAGTCTGCAGGTTTACAGTATTCAACATACTTTGTAGTAATTCTGTGAATTAAACTGCACAACCCAACCCAGCAAACATGACAGTGTGGGCCCACTGTGGGTAAGTGTGGGTTTACTGTGGGACAGTGTGGGCAAGACAATCCCACAGAAAAACACATGTGGGCCCCATGTGGGGTAGCCCATGCAGGCCCTTAAAATATTTTCCCCTTTGGGACCCACATGGGTTTTTCTGTGGGCAAGCCCACAGTGGGTTTGCCCACAGAAAAACCCATGTGGGCCCCAATGGGTCAGCCCATGTGGGGCCCAATGGATTTTGCCCTTTGGGGCCCCAATGTTGGTTTTCTGTGGGCAATCCCACAGTGGGCTTGCCCACAGAAAAACACATGTGGGCCCCATATGGGTCAGCCTATTTGGGACCCTATGGATTTTACCCTTTGGGGCCCAATGTGGGTTTTCTGTGGGCAATCCCACAGTGGGCTTGCCCACAGAAAAACACATGTGGGCCCCATTTAGGTCAGCCCAAGCGGGGCCCAATGGATTTTCCCTTTGTGGCCCCAACTTGTATTTCGTGGGTAAATTTAAGTTAAATTTTATATTTAGCTTGTATATAAAAATTACAATAAATCATTTTCATTTTGGTCAAAATAGTGTGAAGGACAAAAACTGCCTTGCTGCTGAGAGAAAATCATCTAGAAATTATAGTTTTATATATAATCTTGATCACATATGATCACAGTGTGGACCCTCTGTGGGTAAGTGTGGGTTTACTGTGGGACAGTGTGGGCAGGACAATCCACCAGAAAAACACATGTGGCTCCCATGTGGGGTAGCCAATTGAGCCACCCAAAATGTTTATTGTCCACTTTTTTAGACAATTTTGACACCAAAAGTGTTTAAAAAAAGTGTCCTTAAGTGAAAAAAAAATAAATAAAAATCATAACTGGAGCAATTATTTTCTTGGGGAAAGTGTGACACCCTGAATGGTTAGTCACACGTTTATATGTATGTTTTTTTTCTTATAAGTATTTATAATAAAATCTGCTTCTCTTTGTTAATTTTCTTCATGATTCATCTAAAGCTGTATTTAAATATCATGAGTGGAGAGTGGGTGGGACCGGGATGGTTTGTTTACAGGGTTGCTATGGTAACGGTGAACCGCAAGAGTGTCATTACTAGAGCGCCTTGATTTTGAACAACAACGCAGCCGTCTCATCTTTTAGGTGGGTAAATCCTATCACAAAATCGATGAAATGTTAAGATAACATGTTACTCAAGTGTGTTTACAAGTTTAGTGAGGTAACGTGCAGTTAAAGAGTTAATTAGTGGTGAAGATTGTATCTGTTTGCTGACATTGTATGAAAACGGCAGTTAGCGGCCGGTTGTGTTATATGATAACTGCAAAGTTAACTTAAGGGCTCCACCACGCTGAAATCCTCTGTAAACGTTATGTTTTTGTATTCAAGTTGTTAAAAACGATAATAATATCACTTTTGATTGTATAAATACACTTGGTTTAAGACGAGGGTTACAACGACTGTAACAGATTTGTTTACGTTTGGATTACACAGAGCTGTCCCAGAGATGCAGAACAGATGTACGATACTGTGCTGACACCCCACTAGCCTAGCAACTGCTAGAAGGGCTCTGACCAGATAAAAAGGTCATTAGGGGCATGCTGATCTGCAAAGCATTTAAAGGTAGAGTATGTAATGTTTCTATATTATAACCCTCTGTAAGTTAAAAAGGAAATCTGAAGAAAAAATTACTAGTCATGTACAGTAAGAACAGTAGAAACAGTTAAGTAAGTAACATTTATTTGTCCACAAATTTTTAAAGACTGAAACACTTTTCATTATCCTGGAATCTTTTTACAACCCCAGGGGCTTTGTAACAACTACAAATAATAATATAATTTTTTAACTTTATTTATAATGTTGGTCAATTTGTCTAATTTTAAAGCCTGCCAAGCACATCTTTTTAACAGTTTTTACAGTTTAACAGAGTATTAAAAATTTAGAAACAGAAACAACCCTTAAAAGAAAATCTAATCTCAGATTCAATAGATGTGATATATGTTATGTATTAACTACTAGTATAATTGTAAGTGTACTACTTGAAAATTACACAATGACATTTTTCATTTGTACGGCAAGTGAACTCCTGAGTAGTATACTTTTATAATACTTGTTGTAAATACTTAGTTTATGTACTCTATTCTTTGCTCAGAACTTGACTATTGCACTTAACCATTACAACTGCACACACAGTAATAGATACACACACACACACACACACACACACACACACACACACACACACACACACACACACACACACACACACACACACTTCCTTGAGGTACAAAGTGAGTACACTTTCACCGAACCACTATAGTTTTATTCTGCTGTATACTGAATATACTCTATTCCTTCCTAATTGTAGTTTAAAATGAATATATTAATAGTATACTTGAGAATAAAATTTTTTTTGTAAGAGTACATGGACCCTTTTCACAAAAAGGTTATGATGTGTTTAATGGTGATCAGCATCTTAAATCTTTAGTTCTTTGTACACTTCTAAAGCTATACTTTGTAATGTCAACTGTGCGTCAAAATACAAAAAAAAAAAAGATTGCTTATGTCAGGTGTTTCTAATGCAGTGCCTATGGGCAGGACAGTACATTTGATGTTGTTCTCTCCTCTGGTTGCCATTATCAGTCTCACACAATTATTATTATTATTATTTTTTTTTTTGCTTTTTCTGAAAGTATTGATAACACCATCACTGAGTTTTCCTTTGGTTATTGGAGCAAAATAAAATGCAAACATTTTGTTGTATTCTGCCATAAGTATGATTACTTCTGCTACTAAACAACCCAGAATTGTGAAAAGGGTCCATAGAACGTAAATAACACATTGATTTTAACATTTGTATTTCAATTGTTTTATTTCCCAGACGCTGTAACAAAAATCAGCAAAGGAACAGCTTCCCAAATAGAAGCAACAATAAAGTCATGGTTAAGAAAGTCAAGAGACAGAGATGGTGGGCGCCAAGGAAGGGCCAAAACTCAGAAGGGACTTACTTTTAATTAATTTTTTGGAGTTAAAAAATTGCGTTTTCTTTTGTGTGTTTATTCACGTTTGATTTTGTATAAAATATAATTCTGTTTCAATATCATACAGTTGTTCATTTTTTGTTATTAAACTCTGTAAATAAATATTTACTAACATGACCCAGTTTATTGTCAAGTAAAACTGTTCTGAAAATGCATTGTATAATGGTTTTCTGTATGTACAAAGTAGAACCAGACTCAGTGGCTCAGACAGGATCATTGCGAGCCGCCCACTGTGGGCCCAATGGTGTGGGCTGACTGTGGGACCCACACTGTGGGGCACTTGTGGGGCCCCTTTGGGACAGCCCAAAAGTGTGGGCCGACTGTGGGCTATTCCCACACTAATCAGAGTGGGTTATCCCACAGTCAGCCCACACTTTTGGGCTGTCTCAGTGGGCCCACACATGCCCCACATTTCACGCCGGTATCTGGGCCCACAGTGTGCTGCCCACATGGGCCCCTTATGGGCCCCAAAGTAGCATGTTTGCTGGGAATAGAAACAAGGATAATCAAAAAATAAAATATGTCTCTCTATTGAACAAAAATTATAGATTTTATTATATTTGATATTTTTAGCAGTTATGATGAATGAGCTTTGTTATGTGACAGATGTGAAATTTTCACTTGTGGGACTTTAAATAAATTAAATATAATAGTTAAATATAATAGTATAATAGTTAAATATAACAATTTTTTTTTCATGGCAAGGGTAATATTTGCATGAAACTGCTTATATTTATACATTATAATACATTTACCTCCCCTCTTCCTCCTTACCCTAGTTCTTAAAGCAACTTAAGCAATGTCAGTGCATTTGCATAAGTTTTACTTGTGCGCAATGTGTGTTTATGTTGTTGAGTCGTTTAATGCCAGGCTTTAGTGACTTTGCACAAAAGCAGCAGCTTAATGTCATATCAGTGCTCTAATGATTGGCAAGGGATATTAATAGTGTTTCTGTAAGTGAAAAGTAAGGAAAGCATTACAGTTCAAACTCATATTTGGTAGTAATCGAAAATGTTTTGTGCACATTTCATGTTTCAAACATGTTGTATAAAATTATGTGTAATGACTTGCAATGATAGCAATTAAACATTTGGGAAAACACTGACACAAAAATTCCTTACACCAGTGGCGTAAAACCCAATTGCTGGAGGGACTCACAACTCTGACCCTTTTAGCTTCAAACACCTCCAACTCACACTTGCTTAATAGTCTCTATTAGTCTTTAACACCTTGATTAGTTGAATCAGCTGTGTTGGATGAGACTTCGAACAAAAAACTATGTTTTCAAACTAAATAAGTTTGAAACCTATACCTTACACTTATACAACTTAAAGATTACTTGACCTAGCAGGAAATATGTTAAATGTCTTCTTTTTTGTTTTTTACACATTGTTAATAATTTAATAGACATATTGCTGACTTATTGTTGTTTTATACTACAGCGTTGTTGCAGCTGTGACAGAGTACACTAGTACGTAAGTAAAAAATCTGTTTCGATCACATAAAACAATAACTTCACATTGTAAGCGGACAAATAAAAACATTGCAACTGGTCTTCACTTGTTGTTGCCATTAAAAGTCGGTGTATGATGATTTACATTTATAGCTTAAAAACTCACAGTGCTTACATTTATCTTAAGGTCATTCCAAAAATTAGCATGCATGTGTAACAAAAATTGGCTTAGAATGGAATTTTCAAAGACATTTGGCACCATGAAGATGCCAGTAAATATATTACACGTGAAAATTGTACATGTAAATTAAAGCTAAATGCAAAATTTGACTGTGTTATGTATTGTTGTTTTTGTTGTCTTTAAAGATTATGTGACTGTGTGATGTGTCCAAAGTATCAAATATAATGTAATCTACTTAAAGGATCAATACTTGGTCAATGAGGATTTCTCTCATGTTAAGTCATCAAAAGGTCTTCAACTCCAGTGAAGGTAATACTCATTTTTGTTAAACTTTTCTATATGACACTGTCTTATTTTTATAATCGGAGTGCTATTAACTAAACCTTCAGATAAATTAGGTTTTCTTTTTATTTATTTACTTTTTTATTTTCAGTTTTGTGTATTATAATATAATTCTTCACAGTTTCTTAGACAGGGTTATCTATTATTTAACATGATTGGCAGATCACACACCAGTTGACTGATGGACCTGGGGATGTACTTACGATCCTTTGTTCTCTGGTGAAATCCCTCTGTGGGGCTGGATTTTCACGTAAATTCACTAGTGGTTGCTTCGTTATTGAAGTGATATATCTGAGGCTGCTAATTAAGGGAAGTCGTGTAATTCAAGCTGGAGGCAGCCAAAGACTAATCGTGTTGACTGGTTTTACGGGAAACTTTACTAGATTCTCGATGGAAAGAAAGAAGGCTAAAAAGAAGATAGGGAATTTAAGGGTGGTCTCTTCCCATTTTAAGCCTGTTCACACAACAGGATTTTGAACATCGGCATATCGCTGTGCCGTTCACACTACATGACTTGATTTTGTGTCCTTTAATCGCTGTGGTGTTCACACTACACAACACTACGTGAATGATCCACAAGAGGGGGGTCACACACTACATGATCTGACAACAATTTGTTACCCAACAGCTCATTCAAGCTACCAAACCACAGCCAATGAAATTTTGAGGGAGGAGTCGTCAGACAAACCTGAGCATTATTGGCTCCTTGTGTGCTGATAACATCACTGACAGTGTTTCAAGCTTACAAGGACACATTTAAAAACATCTCAGCTGATGCATTACTGAATTATCACTCATCTGCAAGTTTTTTTTATTTTTGTAATTTTATAACTCTTTGAAATAAAACTAACATATCTATAACAGCATGACGTTTTCTAAATATCAGTATATTTCTTTCTTTCTTTTCTAAAAATGAAAAAAAGTTTTTATTATTGTTTTTTTAATTATTAATTTACAATCAACAGGACCAAGAATATACATTGTGGGAGACAGCTACATTCACCGTGGGGAAAAAAGAGCGAGAGAGATGACTGGGAGAAACCTGGGACTAAATGCCCTCATCCAGTGGTTTGGTAGGGGAGGGATGATTTGGAGAAACGTCCTCCCCTACTTTGAACAGTGCCTCCAAGGAAGAGCTGTGCCAGACATCCTCTTGGGTCACTGTGGCGGAAACGATCTTGGAAAAACCAAGAGTATCCATCTTGCCGCAAGAATAAAGCAGGACTTGCAAGACCTCCACAAGAAGTATCCAGAGATGAAAATAATATTCTCTACAATAACTCAGAGAAACCTGTGGAGGTCTGCACAACCCCAAAAGATTGAGAAAGCACGGCGCTTCATTAACAGTGTCATGGCTTCCGTTATCTTATGTATTGATGGAGCCATTGTTCATCATCGTCAGATAAAGCGTAGACATCCTGGACATTTTTTGCCTGATCTAGTTCATCTGACCCCTTTGGGAAATGATATTTTTTTAAACAATATTGTCCAGTGTTTGAAAGACCAAATCAGGTAGGGTTTGAAGTGTTCTGCTGGATTTAAACTTTCTAACCAAAGTTGTGACATAAAAAATTTCTAGAAATTTTAAACTTTGTGACGTTTGATGAACTACATATTTTATTTATTTAAAAAAAAAAAATTAAGGGAAGCCATCACACTGACATCTGTCACAGCTGTTCCTTTTCAATACTTTTCTTTGTTCTTCCAATTTCCCCATGGTGAATGTAGCTAAGATTTTGTAAATAAATTTTTACTTGCATGCAAGTGTCTGTGCTTTTTTGTTATAATTTATTAATAAAAGAACATTACACACACACACACACACACACACACACACACACATATATATATATATATATATATATATATATATATATATATATATATATATGATAAATAATTCCATAGTAAGTTACTAACTTAGCATGATGACCCAAGACATACCTCAACTTAAACAAAAACATGATTAATGCATTGCACTACAGAAATAATTATTTGTCCAACATGTATCTTTCTAATGTTACTTCACACAAATGTATTCAATTGAACTTTTAGCTGTCAATACATTGTGTGACATTTCAGAACTGTAACCTTTTTAATTAGTGATTCAATTATAGACAGTACTTTAAAATGAATGGACAGAACTGCATGAAGTGTGGATGAGTGCTAAACGTGCTGACTCCATGTTGTCACTATGTAGCACTGGGTGTACATCTGGGGTAGGTTCTGTATAGGAAATACAAAGGAAAGCATTAATGAAAAACATTTTATAGCAGAGCTCATGTACCAAAACTTGAAAGTGCCACAAAGTGCACTGTTGCAATAAGTTAAACTAATTTCTAATATGTACTGGTAGTGGGGTTATAAATTAAGATAATAAACAATCTTAAATGTCATCTGTGTTAAATAAAAAAGTACAGTTAACATAAAATATTAATAATTTTATAATTAAAATAACATAACAATTTTTTTTAATTTTAAAATTAATTAATTAAAAAGTAAAACTTTTTTTAATGAAAAGAGTGACATGTTTGAATATATTATTTTTTTCCTAACACTGTCTACATAGTAGATATGTGGCTTTGGTCTACTGCAAATTTTTCATACAAACTGTTTTATATGCTCCTTTATTACCTTAAGAAAGGGCAATATAAGTGTCTTTATTAATTTACTCACCTTTATTTTTGTTTCGTCTCTCTTCGTTATCCTCAATGAGCCTATAAGGTAGGAATGACAAAAAATATATTTCACATACCAGATCCAAACAGAATTTTAACAAATTGGCCCATCTTAGTAGAAAGCCCACTCACCACGTCAAGGTGCAAGACATTAAGTGGGACACAAGACAAGACAAACAAGACGAACTCAGATGAGACAAAAAAGATTTCTACATGTAAAATGTAACTATATAAAACAATATTAACAAAACAATGTTTATAGAAACATAAATATGAACATTTTCAACCTGAAATAAAAAAATACTATTTTTGGGGTGTTTTTAATATTTTTATTCTAGAACAATAATATAATTGGAACTGGAAGTGTAAACTGCATTTAAAACAAAATAGTCATAAGAACAATTTTCACACTACACTAACAACCATAAATGAGAGAACATATTTTAACAGTAAAACTATTTCATCTGAATTTCTGAAGAGCTATTTACTAACAAGTGCTTTCTGTGACTGAACAGATTTTAAAAACAATAATATAGAAAAATTAAGGTGGATCAGTGCAGTAGAGGCATCTTCTGTAAATGATTCAGTCCTGTTTATGCGGACTGTAAATCAACAGCAGCAGCAGCAATAGCAGCAGCAGGTCTTCAGTAGGATCAGAGGAGACAGAGGAGGCATGAATGATTAGCAGCAAAGAGAACAATAGAAGACTACAAATAAACTAATTATTCACCATAAAAATGAATCAATTTAGTCAGTTGTCTGCAAACCATTTTGCCATCTTTTGCTATTTCAGCTCCCCTTCTTGCACAGTGGTTAAATTTGACTTTGCTATACCAAATGGATGCCATTTTAACCAGTAAATGAATATGATTCATTTCAACGTTTGTAGCAAACATGTGGCTTTGGAGTTGTCGAAAAAGATCTCTCTCTGCACAATTTGCTAACACCTCGTTGGAAAAAGCAAGTGTGATTCTACGTCCACGGGGAAGCTGACCTCCACTTGTTGTGATCTTTCTCTGAATGCATTTCTCTGTGGTCAGACACCATGCCTGGTGATGGTTTCTGCAGACCACCTTTGTTTTTTAGATGGATGAATTCATGTGCAGCACTATCAGTTGTTAATGCCTGTGAGCATGGCAAGCAGGATATTTTCTCTTTCATCTTCTTCACCACAAATCCTGTGATATAATGAATTGCTGCCTCTTTGCATTCAGAAAGACTGCATACATGAGGGAGGTCAGGAACAGCATCATTCTCGGGCACGTCCACTTCCACCAACTGTACTTCCAATCTTCGGGCAACATTTACAGATGCAGGTGTTGAGTTGAGCATGTAAGTGTTGTCTAGAAGCAAACAGTTCCCTGTGCCTGTTTTCACTTGGTGCCTTACAAATAGGGTTAGTTATGCTCCTCTAAACTGCCTGGCATTAGGATTATCATTGTGACCACCTCTTCCTCTTATGGCAGCAAAGAAAAGCTCCAAGTGGTCCTGACTTAATTTGTAGGTAAGAAGATATCTGCATGGTGCATTGGGCCTTTCAACAGGATCATGATAGATGTTAAGTGCACTTCTGCTATTAGCAATGAAGCCCTATATGGCAGTCTTCTTTTTGGTGGTGTGAAGTGGCACCATCTTGTTGTACTGCTGGACCTTCAACCCACGAAGCATGGATTCTGCCTGCTTTGAAATGGTCTCAACCCGATCTTTAGTTGTTGTTTTGATTGGGGCTTTGAAACCTTTTCCAAGAGGATTTCTGCTGTTCAGTACATCAAAAGCTGCATCTTCAGTGATGCACATTTATTGGATATCAACAGCTTCTTCTTGAGTTCTGTGACGACATCCTTTAAGGTGAAGATTTTGTTTTTTAAACGCCTAGGCTTTTGGGATTCAATTTTAAGCTTTTTCCTGTATTTTTGTAGAATTTGGTTTAGTGGCCTGATTTTTCCGTTTTAAATATCTTGGAGACGCAAGGTTGTAGCTGTGATCCTCTTTAATAAAATGAGGAGTTTCATGTGTGGAACTTAAAGTTGCATAACTATGATCCTCATTGATATCCACCGTTACAGCAGTGTCAACTTGACATAGGTCATTACTAACTGAGAAGTTGCCAATAGCATGTTCAGTCAAGGTGGCATTGCTGTAATCAGCAGCTGAGTGCACGCTAAGAGACTTGTCAACTGGAGAATCCTTTTTACTGTGTCCTACATCTTTGCTGAACAACAGAGAGGAGCCACTTACCTCAGAATTCTTATTCGCAAAAGTCTTGTGTCTTACCCCTACATAAGTAGATTTCACTAGATGACAAGGAAATGAGAATATAGTTGGAACTGCTGTACTTTTAAGACGCCGAATCCCCTAAAGAAAAAACAAAATAAAAAAACAAAGATGAGGAAAGAAAAAATCGACGTCTTTCAATAAACACAAATCTAGATGTGTCTGAAAAGTTTTCTTTTCTAATCTACTATTTTGAGTATGTTAGCGTGCATTATTAAAGTATATGAATAATTAAATTCATATACTTTAATAAATTGACAACAAGGATGCTGACCAAATGCTTTCCATTATCCAGTAAGAATAATGATTAAAATTCAGATTAAGATTAAAGCAGATTAAAATGTAACATTAATTGAATTTAAAATAAAGTGCATATTCTAGTACTAAGCTGTGTATTAAAGAGCCCATATTATACATGAAATAGGGTCATATCTTGGTTGTAAGGGTCTCCAACAACAGTCTAATATGCATGCAAGGTCAAAAAACACTTTCATGGTCTTATAATCTGCATTTATTTTTACCTAATTATCCCAGCGACTTCTGTATGAATCGTCCAGTGATTCATTTGTTCCCAAACCCCTCCTTAGCGCAAAGCTAATCTGCGCTGATTGGGCCGATGACAGTCTGTCGCGATTGGTCAACTGCCTTCAGTCAGAGAGTGAAATGCCAAACAGCTAATCAGCAATATAAAAAGTAATTACAGTTCATACACGCTTGATAGTGTAGACGTGGATTTTAGCTGCCACACACACACAAAAACACACACACACACCTCCAGACGACAACGCTCCCGCTTCCGCCCGCACCCGCCAGGTTTTAGCCTGAACCCGACCGCTCCCGCTTATATTAAGAATTTGTTGTCCCGGTGCCCGACCCGCCCCGTTTTCTGCCCGCCGCGCCCAATCCCGCTAAAGATCGGGGGAGAACAAAACCGAAAAAACAGTCCAGACAGCCAAGCTGTCTGTATAAACACACACAGAGCACCAAGCACACACACACAGACAAAGCTTTCTCTCTCTCTCATACGTGCGTGTGCGCACTAACACACACACACAAGCACCAAGCAGACACACAGGCAAAGCTCTCTCTCTTTCTCATTCGCATAGCAATATCCGTGATATTGCTAGACAGCCCGCTCCCGTCCCAAATTAAACCTGTTACCGACGGCTCCCGCGATTTATTAAATTTATTACCGCGCCGCAGAAATCTGGCGCGGGGACAGCCGCGGGAATGCAGACCTCTACCACGAAGCTCCGTAAACAAAGCAGCATGCGTCACGTTTTTAACGTGACTCAGCACGCGATAAGAGAATATAGCCAGTTAACCTGATACAGTACACGCGGTTACAAGTAACAAATCACAACGAAATACATTTGCAAGCTAGAGTCAACGAGGCAACAACTTTAATCACACGTACTTACACTTGAGAAATGGAGGAAGAAACCCATCCTGACGTCCATCAGTAAGTTAACTTACTCTTTACTGATCCTTCCTTTAACAAACGCAGATGAAGTATTCTTTGTAGCATGTAGTTTCCAGTAGTTTCCAACTGCTTGGTTATATTGCTGATGTTTCATCTTTGGGTAGACCCTCGATAATATCCATCTGCAGTGTGACTTCTATCGACCGGCATGTTTGTGTGTGTGTGTTTGTGGGTGTGTGTGTGTGTGTGTCTGGGTTTCTGCGTCAGAGGGCGGTGCCTCAGGTTTGAAATCTCCTGGGTTTGCGCGTGCACGTGAATAACTTGGTTTCGTTCGTACGTCATGGCGAAACACCTAATGACTCGGTATCAAATCGACTCGTTTGA